CCTCATGTGTGAGGCAATGGGTTCAATTCTCAGCACAATATTTAAATAATTGAATAAAATAAAGGTCCATCAACACTAAAAATTTTTTTTAAATGGCAGTGAAGTAAATATGTGTATACCTGTGAAAAAGACTGCCTGAAACCCAAAGTTTAACCAATTCATAGCTCTCCCTCCTCCCAACAAAGAACAAAAAAAAAGATATGTAAAGTACAAAACACATTTCAAATAAAAGAATAAGTGAAATGAGATTACAGACATTTAATTAAATCAATTAATTATAAAACACAATGAAATCCCATTCAGTCACCAAACATTATGATCCAAAATTTTATATATCCAAATGATATACTAGTGAACACACACAAGAGGCACAAAAATATATACATTGTGTATATATATTTATACTAAAATGGTAACAGAGGTTTTCCTTGGATAGTAGAATTTGAGTAACTTCTTTCTAGCTTATCTGCATTTTTAAAAATGCATATGTGTTATTTATAATACAAAGAAGTAATAATCTACAGGGTTGGGAGTACAGCTAAGTGGTAGAGCACCTGTGCAGGATCATGCAGGAGGCTGTGGGTTCAATCCTCAGTAGTGCAAATCATCACATCATCGTCAACAACAACATCATCATCATCATCCTCTTCAAAAAATAAAATACAGGAATTTATTTCCTTAAAACATTTTGCCCTTTGTATAATAAACTAATTTCTTAAGGAGCATAATGTGTAAACCTGCATACATACACACACACACACACACACACACACACACACACACACACAATACATAGCTATATAAACAAAGAGATCAAACTGGGAGAAGCAAAAGGCTAGGGTCACAAGTTATAATCTGGGTTCCCAGGCAAGAAAGGAAAGCTGAAGAAATGTCATGCAGAGGTTAAGTTCTTGATACTTTTCCTTTGTTCATTCACAAGCTCAATGGTAAAACTGGTGCAACTATAATTAATTAGCAGTACTTGTATTAAAAATATTTAAGTCAATGTAAAACTATACTAAAATAATAAATAATTAAAATTTAAAAATGTTAAAGCAAACTTTCTGTAATGGTTAATTTGAATTGTCAACTTGACTGGTTTAAGAAATGCCAAGGATTAAGAGGCTTATGGGTGTGTAAATGATGTTTTGTCTAGGAATGATTGGCATGTGGGATAGCCAACTGAAATGGAGACACTCCCTGAGCATGGGCAGCACTATCCAATAAGATGATGACCTGGATGGAATACAAGTTGGAAGACCAAGGAAACAGCATAGATGCAAGCTTCCATTCTTCTTGCTGCTGCCATGGATCATCTGAGGATGTTGGACTCTCGCTTCTTCACTCTTCCAAAGCAGACTCTGCCAGTGATTTCCCCAGAAGCCTTTGGTCTCAACTAGCACCGTTGATCCCTCTTGTTCTGGAGCTTCAGCCTCTTGGACTGTGCAGCTACTGGTTTTTCCAGCTCTGCAGCCTGAAGATGGCCACTGTGGACTATCCAGTTTCTGGTCACGTAAGCCAACCTTTTTTATAATTGTACTTCCTGTTGATTCTTTTCCTCTAGAGAACCCCGATTCCTACACTCTCCTTAGCGATAATAATGATAAAACACTAGAACACACACATTTTGGAGTTTTGCATCCTTAAAATCATGTTCTACAAAGATAATTAATTCTTCTGATTGAAGATTAGTGGTTGGTACAGTCATCTTTCATATATATACTTTCAACTCTGGGACTCTGAGGAGAAAATTTTTATACACATTACCACTGTATTACTCTCTTAACTTAAAAACACTTGGCAGAAGAGAAAAGGACCCTTAAAGATACTTTGGGTCTCAGTAGAATGGAAGATATCAATTACAACGGAACGTAACAAAGTTAACACATAAAACTGACCAGATATAATACCTAAAAATAATTCAATCAAAATAAAAGTAGGTAACCTATACTGATACTACTCATTTTGTAAATGAATTGTACTATAAAATTCCAGATGTCTACAAAAATGTTTTCTCCTAGTGCCCCACATTTTCAAGTAAGCAATAAGACAGCTAATCTACCGTATCACAGCAACTATATCACAATTATATTAAAAATTTCCACCAGTATTTACTGAGTTTTTGGAAGACTAGGCTAAAACAAATAACAAACAGAATTACATAAATATAAAACTGAACACACAGGCAATATTTCTCAAAGTGGCAATTTGATTTCCAGGCTGTTTATATTATGTGGAACAGGAGATAACAGTACAAACCATTGCTGTACAGCAACCAGGGGCCAAAGTGCTGCAGTGAGTCTTTCAAACACTTCTGGGCACTGATTAGTTGACAGTAATACAAAGTTGTATATCATGTTCCAGATCTTTAAAGACCTGAAAGTCCTTAAAGCCATGGGTAATATACCTAGGATAATTAACAAGTACTTTAAAAACTAGATGGGACAGACTGAAAAACTGCTATGTCCTTACATACCTATAAGACCCCATCCCCATCCCAAGGTTAGTTTAATAAAACAGGGTTATATGTGAATCAACTTATTGTATATTTGAAACCTCCAATAAAATTAAAAAATCCTTTTTGTTCTATAATTTTATAAAATTGGATAAAGTTCATCTGAGAGCCAACACTGTTCTGTAATACACAATATGATGAATATCAGTAAAAAATGATACTCGATGAAAAAATATATAAGGCTTTTAATTTACTATCTATGAATAAGTTAGGAAAGATAATTTGTAACATCATTAAAATGAAAGTACATTACATAAAGAGAGCTATATACCTCTCTTTCTAATAAATTTTAACAGGAAAAATACAGTGTTTTTTTTAAGAAGTTTCTTTTTCAAACAATTTTTTTTCTAAATTGTATGTGGACACAATACCTTTTTATTTATTTATTTTTATGTGGTGCTGAGGATCAAACCCAGTGCCTCACAGGTATTAGGCAAGTACTCTACCACTGAGCTATGCCTCCAGCCCCCAAAAGTTTCATTTTTTTTTAAATTATATAATACTTGTTTGATATTAAAGAACAAACACATATCGAAACAAAAACTATCCACAATGCATACTTCAAAATAATCATACGAACCTTTTAGTGTCTTTTTTTCCTAGAACATTTTCAATAAAACATATATACTTTTCCTTTTTTTAACAAAAACAGAACGAATCAATATATACAAAGCAATTTAATTTCATCAACCTAACAATCCATGCATATCATATCATTCATTACAAAATTCAACAATATAACTCTCAATGGATGCAGATATCCCAATTATAGAGATAAAATAATTTATTAAACAGTCCCTACTTTTAAATACATAATATTAAGAAAAAGGTAGAAACAACCTTGGAAGGACTGTTATGGGCAAGACTGTTATGATATGTATAAGAGATAGAGAACGATCAAGCACCCGAGTGAGCACTAAATAAATTCATGAGCACGAGAATGAACAGTAAATAAATTCATGCAGATATATGCCATCTGCACACTTACCTAATTATTTTCTTGAGATTCTTAAAAGTAAAACTACTATGCAGGTATGTATGCTTTTAGGCTTTTGATACTTACTGATATACTGTCTCCTTTAGGAAGGTTATTTTAGATTTATATAGGGGCTCTAAACCATACAAACCCAATCATACCTTGAAAACTCTTATTAGATTTTATGATTAAAAATAATTACTCTCAACTTGATGGTAAACCTTTTTCAATGGAATAAATTGCAATACAATTTGATGGTTATCATATAAAGAAACATCTGGGATCGTAACTTGAGTTTAAAATAATAAATTGTACTCAGATTTTAAAATGAATAAAAGAAATATTAAAGAAATCTTACAAAATTATATAAATAGTAGCAGTAAACAATCAATTTTGGCACTTAAAAAAAGAATATTATAATGGTTTAAAGACATAAGTTTGAAAACAAAAATGGTAACATTAAGATGAAATAAATGCTAGGATTATCCTCTAGATATAACAATTGAGAAGAAAATCAAAATAGGTCATGCCTAATAAGAAATGTATTCCTGTTAAGTTTAAAAACAAATTTGTCTGTTATCAATTATTATCAGCATCATTATAACTAACACTACTGCCAAGGACACTTCTCCCTTGATCAATAACAATAATATATCTTCAAACACTGTGTCAGTGAAGAGCTTTGCCCTTATAGGCTTAACTAACTTTCCCAAACTCAGCAAAAACAAAAACAAAAAAATAATCTCCTGACTTCTAATTAATAGTCTTTTTCAATTTTTTAATTTATTCTACTTAGTTGTACATGACAATAAAATGCATTTCAATTCATCATACACAAATGGAGTGCAACATTTCAATTCTCAGGTTGTTGTATAGAGACACATCATTCATGCAATCATACATGTACCTAGGGTAATGATGTCCATCTCATTCCACCGTCTTTCCTATCCTCAATATTCTTTTGTATAAATTCTTCCAAAGAATGTCTTATTGCAACTCTAGCTCTTCGGATATTAAAAAGAAATGTCCTGACACAAGTAGATAAAATGAATGTAGCAATAAACTTAGCTTCAGAGTCTCTAATATTCACAAAAGTTTCAGTACAAAAATATTAAAAGCACAAATTTAAAAAAATAAAAACTGGGGAGATAGCTTTTTAGAATTTGATATGCCTAGTTGATTTATTTAAATCCTATCCATGAATAAGTTAAAAAAGGTAATTTGTAAAATCATTATAATGAAAGTACATTATACTTGGCAAAGACAAACTTCATTTTCAATTTTAATTTAGTGTACCAAAATTTTAAAGACATTAGGATATAATGTAAGACATCATGTATAAAATAATAATGATAATAATAAAGTATATTTTATAATTTTACTTATTTTATTTAAAAATGCTTTCAAGAGACCATAAAATTGTGTTTAATAAAACGTTACTAAATAACAATTTTTCATTTGTTAAATGGGGCAAGAGCTTAAATTTTACAATAAAACTTAAAATATTACCTTCAAATAAACTGAGGTCTCTTCGTAGCCGTGGTCCATAAAGCCCTTCTAAAATACTCTCAAAACCTGTGTTTTTAAAGAGAGAAAAGTGTATTAATTACTGGAAAAGCTTTATTTTACAACAGTTAAAAACCATAAGCATATATATACATATATACGTACACATATATATACATACATATATACATACACACATATACATACATATATATATACACACACATATACATACACACACACACACACATATACACATATATATATATATATTTTTTTTTGCTACTAGGGCTTGCTACCAGTGAGCAATATCCCAGTCCTCTTATTTTCTTCAGACAGGATCTCACTAAATTTCCAAGACTGGCCTCAAACTTGTAATCCTCCTTCCTCAGCCTTCCTTTTGTATCCACCAGCAATTTATTGATTTAACATATTGTGTTTTTCCCTGTAGTTTAATTAAACTTAACTAAACAAAAATATGCTTATGTAATTTCTGAGCATGGCTTTATTTCAGCATTATTTCTCTCATTCCAGCATCGGACTCCACTTCCTCCACAACCAAGTCTGACAAACTCATTATGGCTGAGATCCATAATTCAGTAAGTCAAAATTGAAGAAGACAGAAATACAAGAGAAAAATTCTCTGCTTTCAAAGAAACAACTGAACAGAAGAAACAAGCAGGTGAATCCTAAGGAGGCATGCACTGCCAACATGCAGTGTACATTCCACAAGCACTGCCTTCTTACTGTATTTATTTTAGCTCTTTAACTTTGTAAGATACAAAGAAGATAAATCAAGTTTAAATGACTGTGCTGCCTCTTTTCACATCAAAAAACCAGGGACTACTAACAACGAAGGCCTGCCTCTACCATCTGGCTGTCTTATTGCCAGGGAAAGAAAAGAACTTGCATGTTAGTGAAGAAAGAAGTTGGGTGGAAGGAGGGTAAAATCTAGAGTGAGATCCAATCTGGTGCAAGGTGTCCTACAGGCTATAAAATACAGTTTAATCAGAGTGCCTTTTTGTTGTTGTTGTTGCTTGGCAGTGTCAAGGACTAGAAATTTCAATGAGATCAAATCAATTTTATTAAGTGAAAAGCACATTAGAAGAAACAATAACATTACACTTCAAGACTTCAGATGTCAAGGAATTTGGTGGAATGAAAAATTGTGGACCAGAGATATCAGTGTATTGCAGGTGCTCTGAGACTGAATTAAATCAACAAGTAAGTTCTGCATGATGAACTGTCACTGTTATTGGGGGTTATTCTATCCTCTCAAAGAGCTGCTAAGGCTTGAACAGAGCACTTGGAACACATTAAAAGTGGGTGCTTTTTTTGTTTTTTAAGATTTTTAATTTTTTTGTTCTTTTAGGTATATATGACAGTAATGTGTATTTTGCCATATTATACATACATGGGTACATACATGGGGTATAACTTATTCTAACTAGGATCCCATTCTTGCAATTACACATAAGGTGGAGTTACACTGGTTGTGTATTCATACATGAACATATAGGAAAATTATGTCTGATTCATTCTTCTGCTTTCCAGATCCCAACTCCATTCCCTTCCCTTCATTTCCCTTTGTCTAATCCAAGGAATTTCTATTCTCCCCCTCCCCCAACCTTATTGTGTGTTAGCATTCACATATCAGAAAGAACCTTCAGCCTTTGGCTTTGGGGGATTGGCTTATTTCATTTAGCATGATAGTCCATTTACCAGCAAATGCCATAAATTTCATTCTTCTTTATGGCTGAGTAATATTCCATTGTGTATACATACCACATTTTCTTTATCCATTCATCTGTTAAAGGGCACCTAGTTTGGTTCCATAGTTCAGCTATTGTGAATTGAGCTGCTATAAACCCTGATGTGGCTACATCACTGTAGTATGCTGATTATAAGTCCTTTGGGTATATACTGAGGAATAAGATAACTGGGTCAAATGGTGGTTCCATTCCAAGTTTTCTGAGAAACCTCCATACTGCTTTCCATAGTGGGAAGTGTACCAATTTGCAGTCCCACCAACAATGTATGAGTGGTACCCTTTTCCCCTAAATGGGTGCTTTGACACTGAGATACACCCCAACCTGGGAAACATCATAAAGAGAAAGTAACTCATTAAAAAGACTCATAACAGTGGAAGAGATATCTATCCCAACAGATGCACAAATCTCAATACAGAAATACAGGAAACATAAGAATAAAAGCGAATAAAACACCTCCAAAAATTTGTAACTCCCAATAACCAATGCACAGATGTCAAAGTGGAGGAAATATCAAACAAAGATTTTTTAAAGTTGTGGTTAAAATGATCAACAAGTTAAAAGAACTAAGGCATGAACCAAGGAAGATGATATGAAGCTTGAAAGAGTGTTCCAATAAAGAGATAGAATTCTGAAAAAGAACCAAACAAATACTGAAAATTAAAAAAGAAATCTGTATGTAAAATGAAAAATTCAGTGGAGAGTGTTGCCAATACACTAGATCAAACAAAAGAAAGAATATTAAGGTCAAAGACATGGTGGATGAATTAGAACTCTAAGGCAGTTATAAAGATATTTTTTACAAAAAAAGAAAAAGAAAAAATATATTAGAGCTCTGAGAAGAAGAGGAGATACAGATTAATGGCACAGAAAACTTATTCAATAAAATAACTGCAGAAATTTTCCCTAATCCTTGAAATGAGTTGGACAGGCAGGTACTGGAGGCATTAAGAACTCCAAATAGATATGACCAAAAAGAACTACTCTCTGAGAGTGAAATACCAAAATTCAGAACTAAAAATTTTACTTTTATCTACTTATATATTCTTATTTTAAAAATCTTTTTGTGGGGATTGAACCCTGTTGTGCTCTTCAACAGAGCTACATCCCTAGTCCTTTTTATTTTATTTTAAGACAGGGCCTCGATTTGTTATTTTATTTTAAGACAGGCTGGCCTCAAACTTGCTATCCTCCTACCTCAGCCTCCCAAGTAGCTAGGAGGTGATCATTAGATGATCACTCAAGACATATGCACCTGGCAAGAAAAAATTTTAAAAGCTGCAAGAGATAAATACCAAGTCACTTATAAAGGTAAACCAATCATAATAACAGCAGATTTCTTAGTATAAACTCTAAAAGGCAAAAAGGGCAAGGAATAATGTATTTCAAGCCCTGAAAGAAAACAACTGCCAACCTGCATGACAACATACAGCAAAATGATCCATCTGAACCAAAAAGGAAATAAATACCTTCCAACAAAAACCATAATCTAATGGAATTCACGACCACTAAGATAGAAGCAGAAAATACTTAAGGGACTCCTACAAAGAGAAGATAAAAATAACCAAGACAGCTCAGGAAAAGAGAAAATCTCATTAGCAGCGTACATAAGCAAATGAGAATCATGAGAAAACATTAAAATAAAATGATAGGAAACAAAACATACCTCTTTGGGTTATTCCTGAATGTAAAAGTCCTTAAATCTCAATGAAAGACATAGACCGGCAGACTGGATTTAAAAATGAGATTCAAGCCGTATGTTGTCTCCAAAAAAGGCATCTCCCTGGCAAAAACACTCACAGACTTAAAGCAAAAGGAAGGGAAAATGACATTCCATGTAAATGGAAACCAAAAGCAAAAAGGAGTAACTATTCTCATATCCAACAAAACTGACTTCAAGCCCAGAGTCAAAGAGGCAAAGATCACCACATATTGATACTTTGTAATTTACAGGAAAGTGCATGAACTGAAGAACATGGAGCATGTTAAGCAAAATAAGCTACAGACGAGTATAATACGTTTTATCTCACATACAGAAGCTAGAGGGGGGAAAAAAGATGTCATGAAAATAGAAGGGAGACCATTAGGTAGAAAAACGGGATCAGGGAGAGGGTGAAAAGGAAGGTAAGCATGTACAAATATTTCACTATCTCTACAGGAACCTACTAATCTGTATAATTAATAGCAACACTAAAAAATAATTTTAAGATGTGAGTGGTGGCATACATCTATAGTACCAGCAAATCAGGAGGCTGAGACAGAAAGGTTATCTTTTAAACTTTAAAAAAAAAGCCTCTATTGGCAAAAATTTGACTATGTACCCTCACTATCTCTATCTATATGTTAAAACACAACAAAAAAGGAAATAAAAATGAAATTTAAAAGTTTTAAACGTATTTATATTGTTTAAGTCTTCTTAATAATGATTAGGTGATCACTCAAGACATATGTATTATTCACTTATTGCTTCATAACAAAAGACCACAAACCTAGGGTCTTAGAACAATACAAATTTACTTGTTCACAGTTCTTTAGAAGGTTGGCACATATTCTTACCTCTTACATATTCTTATTTTTTAAAATAATAAAGGTACAGTTAAAATGTTGACCAGGCTGCATCTTCATCTGGAGGCATAGGAAAAATTCTGATTCCTTGTTCATTCATTGAATTCTGTTGTTAGGTCTACCACCATGCCACCCTGAACACGCCCTCTCTTGTCTGAATTCTGTTGTTAGCAGAATTCAATTTCTTATCAATACAAAGGAAGTCCCTATTTCCTTGACATAAGTCAAGGGCCACCCTTAGTTCCTGGAGATTACCTTTACTTCGTGATATACAACTTCCCCATTTTCAAGTCAGCAACTGTATACAGAAGTTTGAATATCTCACTTCCCTTCTACCACCAGCAGGAGAAAACTCTCTACTTTTAAAATACTTGATTAGGTCAGGCCCACCCAATAATCTCCCTCTCAAGTCAACTGTGCCTTATAACATAACCTAATCACCAGTCAGATGGTGGGAATGGGTAGGATATTGGGTAGTAGCTGGGCAGACTATCTTATAAGTCTGCCCACCGTATCATAATATATAGTTTCAATAAAGTTCACTATTAATGATAATGGCTATAAATTTCCCTATTAATTCCCATTTTGTTATGTCTTAATTTTTTGGTCCTATTTCTTTTCAAATATAATTAAAATTACATTACTATTACCTCATAATATTCTAATAAAGAGAATACACTAGGATAGAAAAAATATACCAACTCTGAAACTTTCTTCTTGCTCACTTATGCTTAAATTTTAACATTACCTTTTTAAAAAATATTTTTAGTTGTAGATGAACACAATATCTTTATTTTATTTATTTTTATGTGGTGCTGAGGATTGAACCCAGTGCCTCTCACATGCTAGGCAAGCACTCTACCACTGAACTACAACTCCAACCCTTAACATTACCTTTAATCTATGGTTTCTTTGTAGGAATCTCTGTAAGGTACTTGTTTGTTTTGTGAACCTTACACTTTATTTAAAATTACATGACACAGCAAAAAAATAATAATAATACACTTGACTGAGTCAGGTAAGCTGTAATATCTTTAAAGAGAATGAAAAAATTAATGTACAGTATCAAGTCAAACCACTATAGAATGAATGTATGAATGCATCCTCTTCCATCTGAATAACTTGAGATGTGACCTTCCGAAACATCTTATACATTTTGTACATTCAACAATTACTACAACAGATACTCTTGCTTAAAAAATTAAGAATCACAATACATTCTAACATTTTCTTTCTCCATCCTTTAGACTGAATAGACTCTTGTAGACTACTCACCAAAAATATGGTCCAGCTTTCGCCTAGAGTATAAAAAGCTGGAAAGAGAATCATTCTCAACCCAACAAGAAAAGGCTGAATAATTTACAAAGTTCCTAACTTAAATCTGTTGGTACTAACTTAAAATCTATGAAGAAGACAAATGCCTCCAAAGAAGAAATGAAGGACTATGGAAAGAACACCATCATGGAAGTGGGTTAGAAGTATTAAACTAATATTTTAAACAAAATGGTAATGAACAAGTGTGAGCTTGTTCATATATGAGAGTATAGAACCACTGGGAACTGCAGATAGCCAGTCTTCAGCTCTTTACCATGAATCTCACCAATCGCTGATAAGAAAGTGAAATAATAGCAGGAGACAGGAGATGCAGTGACATAGGCCTTAGTGACTCAGTCCTACAAATACAGAGTCTGCCATTGTGGAGAAAGCCTAGGATGCTGAGTAATCACTAAGAGGCAAAAACTTTTAAGCTGCTTGTTATATAGCAGCAGACCATGACACTCCCAGAGCATAAGTGAATACCATCCATTTTGACTGGAGTAGGTGAAAAAGTTTTATCTCTGAAGGAGAACAGTAAACTGTCCTGGTCTTAGAAGGATATCTTCTACAGCATGACAAAGGGCAAGATCTCTGAGAAAACCCTACTCCCAAGACCCAAGAATACAAAGACTGCCTAAAATTGAGGCTGAATGAGAAATTCTTATCCCAGCCCTGACTAACAGGTTTACTACTTAAAGAGTAACAAGCAATAACAACTTACCAGTGGTGAAAAGACAAATGCTTGACAAGACCCTCTAAGAGGTGCAGGGCAGAGGGAAGGCTAAAGATTAAAGTGGAATAACAACACTGAGGGAAAAAACCCTGAATAAAACGACTATCACCCTAAGTAACATCAAAGGAATAGTTAACATCAGAGGCATTTGAAGCTGATAAAGGTAACTAAAGAAACAAAATCCAAAGGCAGTTAAACTCCTGACTAGATAGACTTGGTCCTTGATACTCTAACAGCCTAGAAGCATAAAATACATGATTTCCAGACATAAAAGCTATTCATCTCAGTGCCTACTGTTCTACATACTGTATCTGACAATTGTTCAAAATAGAAAATTTTTTTAAAAACTCACTACCAAGAAACTAAAGATCTACACAAACCTTACTCAGACATAACACAGATGACATATCAGCAAAGGAGTTTAAAATAAATAACTATGATTAGTTTGATAAAGACTTATGAGGAAAAGTGAGCAATATACATATATATAAATAGGGAACATCAACACAGAAACTATGAGAAAGTCAAATGAAACTTCTACAAACAAAAACACAGTAAAAGGGATGAAGAATATCTTTCAAAGGTTCTTCAGTAGGCAAGGAAAGAACCAGTGAATGTTAAAGTAGGTCAACAAAATGTATCCAAACTGAAACACTACAGAGTTAAGGGGGCAGGGGTGTCTCAAGAACTATGAGAAAATATCAAATTGTCTACTATAAATATAACTAGAATTCCAAAAGGAAAAGAGAAAAAGAACCGAACAAAATATTGAAGATAGTAAAAAAAAAAAAAAAAAACGAAAAATTTCAAATCACAGATCCAAGAATCTCAGAAAACACTGAGCAAAATACTTAAAAAAAAAAAAAATCTTGAAAGCAACAAGAGGAAAAAGTGAACAAACGTAAGAACTACAGCATATCTCACATCCCAAACTATGCAAGCCAAAGACAATGGAGTGACATCATTAAAGTGTCAAAATAAATTTGACCCAACATTTTATGCCCAACAAAATTTATCTTTCAAAAATGCAAGCAGAATGAAGTCATTTCAGACAGACAAAAACTGTGAGAATTCATTATCAACAGATCTGCACTACAAGAAATACTAAAGTAAATTCTTCAAGCACAAAAAATATATTAACACACAAACATTAGGATCTGTACAAGGAAATTAAGATTCTGAAAAATGATTACAATGAAGGTAAAAATAAGACTTTCCCCTGTTTTTAATTGCTCTAAAAAAAATCTACTATCTAAAGCAAAAAAAGGTTATAGGCTTATAGCATATGTAGCAGTCTTTCACTTTTTTTTTGGGGGGGGGGGTCTAGGGATTAAACACAAGGCTTCCAACATTCTGAGCACATGCTCCACCCAGATGACAAAAGCATGCTCACAGAATACTAAAAATTCCACAAACAAAATCACAATACTGAGTGTACATAGGAAAACAATCCTAAAAAAACAAACAAACAAACAAACAAAAAAACTTCTTGAGAGTAAATGTAATATGTTCACATGAACATGACATTTTATAGAAGAGTTCATATCAGATAATTCTAATTCCTTTCCTGGTAGGTGAAACTACATATACATATAGATGTGTGTGTACACTTGTGTAAATTAGAAAACAGTAAGAAGAAATGCCATTTTTTAATGAAAGATTAATAATTTATTTAGATTAGCCCTAATTTACCTAGCATAACCTCTCTCACCACTAGTTAATCTTCTACCTTATCCAGGCATTCTTATCCTCTTTCCATTTCTAATACTTTTGCTCATTCTTTAATAGTTTGCCTTTATTGGCTTCTACTTATTCTTCTCCCACTCTTCTTTTGCCTAATTCAAATTGTGTCTTTTACGAAAGCACCTCTCATTAAGCTATTCCTCATTAATATTCATTTTTCCTTAAATATCCATTTTACTTACTCATATCATCAATTTAAGTTTCTAAGCCTTTTCAACCCCAAATGTTGCTAAACTCAACTGTTGAGTTCAGAAAACTTGGTTATTGAAAATCATCCATTCCAAATCTGAATAACTGAAAAAAAATATACTAGGAAATAAATTATTTCCATAACCCATAAAGTAGCATTCTAATTTTTTTATCCAAATCTTTTCCATGATAGCCTCATATTGCTGGATGGATTAACAAACTCCAAACCAAATCAAAGCCAAAGCCATTATTTTAAAGAGCAAAATAAGGCAAAACTCTCTTTAGAAAAGGCAGCCAGATCTCTGGTCTGAAAAATACAGTAATTAAATCTATTATAAATAGGCCAGAGGGAAAATGTGTCTTTTGTAACTTTCCTGTAGTATAAGGTGTACCCTGGACAAAAAGTTGGAAGACCTTCCCCATTTAAATCTTTTCTACTTGTAAACTTACTATTTACTTTTACAAACACTCCTAGATTGCTGGTTAAGTCTGTTTTAAAATCTAATTAAATGTATGCAATTATTATCATTCAAGTAACAAATCTGAAAATTCTGACCTACATAATAAGTGAAATGACTCAAGTCTTTTCTTACAGCCACAATTACTTCTTCAGTCAGTACTGAGAAATCAATTTAAGAATCTGAAAGACACATTACACATTAGAAAAGAACAGCAGCGTATATGAAAACAAGAGAACTTGATATGCTCAAGAACAAAACTATGCAAGAGAACGTTCTGTAATGACAAAAAAGATCCAAATTTGTGCTATACAGTAGGTGAGGAATTGAATTTTTATTTAGTTTTAATTAATTTAAATCCTAAACAGCAATGTCTAGAAATTTTTTAAAAAGGTAGAAGTAAAGAATGTGATCTGAAAGAAGGACAATATAAAAGGCTGGAGACATGTACAAATACGGATCCCGAAGGGCAAAGCACCCTGTGCCAAGTAATCATTTTTATCTTGAGATCTAGAATGAGACATGGAAGCCCTTTAAGAAGACAAGAAACAGGATTATTTTTGCACTCAGAAAAGATCACTCAAGCAGCAAGTGGAAAACAGACTGAAATAGGAAGAGAATAAAAATAAAAGAATAGTTAGAATGCTTGCCGAAACATATCAGAGAAAAGACAAGAACACAAATTTATGTGCTACAAGTTTACCTAACAGAAAAGATATGGCTTTGAGATATATTAATACAAATAATGGAAATAACTTAGTAACACAGCTTCATTATTTTGAGGCAGGAATGAGAGTACTAAAGATTTCTGGCTTGAGAAATAAGGGTGGATAAATACTGAGAAAAAAATCTATGAGATGTTTTCGTGTTTTGCCTTTATTTGAGTAACCAAAAAAAAAATTAGTTCATGTTTGGTTAGATATGTGAGCATGAATTAAATAAATATATCCAGAGGCAGAAACACAGGCATATGTCTATGGAATTATACTCATTTTCCAATTAAGTTAATCAAAATAAGTTTTCTTCAAGTATCAAATTTAAAATGATCATTTAAAAAATTCTGTTTTATGGGGCTGAGGTTGTGACTCAGAGGTAGAGCACTCGCCTAGCAAGTGCGGGGTGCTGGGTTCAATCCTCAGCACCACATTAAAATAAAATAAAGGTATTGTGTCCAACTAAAAGCAAAATATTTTGAAAAATTCTGTTTTAGTTGATGTCATCATACTGTTCTAATATAAATATTCTGTATTTCTATACACCAGAAAATTAATATCCCATTCATAACATACCACCCCCCACCACCGCCAATACTGGAACCTAAGAAAAGTCACCTCGCATCTCACCTCAGACATTCACATATTGTCCTTCGGCCACCATATATTTCAACCCTCATCCCCACCACTAAAACACATCTGAATAACTACCACTCATTGTTAAAATATTTTCTAAGAAATACTGCTCCAGGCTGTGGTTGTAGCTCAGTGGCAGAGTGCTTGCCTTGCACATGTGAGGCACTGGGTTTTCTCCTCAGTACCACATAAAAATAAAAAACAAATAAAATAAAGCATGCTGTCCATCTACAACTATAAAAAATAAAATTAAAAAAAAAAGAAATTTTTTTGGGGGGTATAAATAACCCAATTTATACTTTCATCTAATTTAATCTAGCTTTAGACTAGACTTGATCCATTGTTACATGCTTTATATTATATTATAACTTATATTATTCCCTTTAAAGCACTAATCATAATTCTAATGAGTCATATGTAATTTTTAAATATTTCTCCTCAGTTTATCAATTATAAAACAAGTATTTGCATGTCTATCAAGTGTTTTAGATAGATAGTGGTAATATATCAGTGAGTAAGAAGAGATAAGTATTCTGCCCTCAACTCGAACTAGGGGGAGGGGAGTCATTAAAATAAAAAATCACGTAACTTCTTATTTGATATTTTTATCTGAAAAAAATATCACAAAATTCTGTAAGCTACAAGGAGGCGGAAACACATCATTTTGCTTGCTATTCCAGTCTCAATGCCTGGCCCATGTAGGTACCCAAATATTTGTTGAAAATGTTTGATGGAAAGATTTCACTCTAGGACCTAAGACATTAGTTCTCAAAATAACTTTCAGAATGCAGCCCTATTTTTAAGTTAAAAACTGCCTGTTATTAATAATTACCTTTCTCACATCAAGTAGCTTTCTGAAACTCATAACCATTTATTTATTTATACCCTTTCTTGCTTAGTTTAGTGCTTTTCCTAGTTCTTTAATTTCAGCGTAACCATTCCCTCTCTTCAGTGGTGCCTTACTATTCTGTTCAGTCTCTTCTTTCTGTAAACATGCATCAGCTATATTTTCTGCTATGATTAAGGGACTACAGGAACTCTATTAACAAAGGTGTTTTTATTTCAAGGTCTTGAAGTCTCCCTATCCCCAAAATGAGTATATACATGGAAGTACTGGGTGACACCTTGTGGGCAAAGCCATTCATTGATGGTGCTAAATGGCTAAAATGATCCCTTACAACAAAGAATTAGCCATCACAAAATGTCAAAACAGGATGTCATCAGCACTGCTATGTCTCATTCTATGCAAATCTAGTAGTCAAAAAAAATCTAGCCTTATATAGAAATGAAGACAAAAATCTGGAATTAATAATATGCTTTAAGAACTTAGATTTGCTAAACATTTAAAATAAAGAGAAAACTCTATGTGTATCTTTTATGGAAGATACATAATAAATAATTAGTATCTAATTCTTCACATTGAATTAACTTATAGGAAATAGAATATGAATGCTTTATATTAGACTAAGAGTAAAAGAAATCTATTTACCTGCAGAATGGAGGCAAGGGGACAGGACTGGCAAATGAAAGATGGGTATTTCAATTCCATCTGTCATATTTTATTCTTTTAAGATTGAAGTTACTTGGATATACATTATATTATTGTGTAAAATATTCAGAGGCCTACTGTAATTACTAAATTGAAACAAAGTTTTATAATTCTAAATAAGTTTGCTACCTTAAAGATTAATTTTTGATGAACCATTCCCAGCACTGCAGAAAATTCAAAGTGCGCTAGAATATCTCTGATTACTAAGGCTCCTACAATGGATATCAGAATCATTGTTTTAGTCAACTTTTATCATTTAGAAAACAAGACTGTATTAACTTTGTTTAAAACTCTTCAATGAATCTCTACTACCTACAAAATTAATTATAATATTCTAAGATAGCAATACTCAAGATTATTATGAAAATCAAAGAATCTAATGTGTGTGAAACACATACTGGGTGCAAGCATTAATAGATGGTCAATAAATGTTAACTGCTATTATTATTATACTACCATTACTGTGCTACTGTACAGCTGTTT